CATATACATACATACATATATACATATATATATATATGTTTATATTTATGAGAAATGAGCAAGGCATATCAACGCACAGACACGCGCCTTTCCAATAACAAATCGTGTATCGAGGAAGCATTCTAGATGTGAATATGGGGATGCTAAATTCACAACAGAATCATGTATACTATATCAACTGATCAACTTCAAAGGCAACTTTATTATTCTTTTGTTCACGGAATAAGAGTCGAATAACCCTAGTCTCACTTTAGACAGTCCTTGACATTCACAAGCGCAGCACTAGCGATGTCGCGCTCGAGCGCTGCATCCAGGCACACTTGTACTTGTTTCAGGAGCATTTCAATGGGGTTCACACGCGGTATGTTCAGACACTCTGTAGTTGATTGAAAAGGTAAGTTAGGTATTAGACATATACAAGGCAGTTTATGATTGAGGAAAAATATGCTCAAATACACCAAGGGAAATGGAAGTATACAGTTGAATCGGTAGGAGATTATATATACATATACATATACATATATATATACATATATATATACACATATACGTTTATATATATATATATATATAAGTATATATACATATATATATATAACACACACACACACACACACACACACACACACACACACACATACACACACACACATATATATATGTAGTACATACTCAATATGCACGTATTGAGCTCCTCGGCCAGCTTCTCTCTCTCCTCTTTGGCAAGTATGTACGCTAAACAGCTATTCTCGGGGTCTCTGTACGCCAGTAAACTGAACGCATTGGACATCTTCTTCCGCTCTTGGTCACCCAGTTCCTCTGTTGTATCCGCCTCTTTCTAAAAATAGAACATGATGGACAAATTTGAATATTGAAATCTCGTGCTAAATATCACCTCGTTTTAATACAGCAATCCAGCCTCGTTCGAACTACAGTACGCGAATCATCAATACGGGTGTTTCAGCCTATCTCTGCAAACAGACTATGAGGAATCCATGCAACATCCCAACCGTCTTAAACAAAGGTCCAACACAGTCCAAGTCAAGAGTGTGTGAAAGGGGTGTACAGTAGGCGGTTGCTTAGTACAGTTTCCCAATGGGACCGCCTCGCACATACTGCCAATGCGTTTTAACGCCAAGGAATCCGTACACGATGGCAACGTGCAGTGGAGATAATCAACAGGAGACCCCCCCCCCCTCCCCACACTTAGTATTGCGCCAGTGGTTGCTAAGCGAATTAAGAATAGTCTAGATACTCGCTACAAATAAGCCGGCCTGTGTGAGCGATAGTGAGGCTTGACCGGACTGTATTCGGATTCTGGCACAAGCACACGAACAATGTTGAAGGTATGACATACGGTAGCTATGAATTAGACAGCCAATCGATCTAACGTTATCTTATCATTCTTTAACGTAGTTGTAAAATAAACAGCAACTCTGTCTTGCATTAGGATGTCCCAGTCTCAAAGTACACAACACACCTGTAAATCCTTGCCAAACCGCAATAGACTGTTCAGCATTTCCTATATGAATGGTACAGATATTCAGTGATATAAACGATACAGTTAATGGATGGGTTTAAATTATATATATAATATAAGTGTATGATATATGGATAATGTGTATATAATATATATATATAGATATATACATATATAATATGTGTATAATATATGGATAATATGTGTATAATATATATATATATATATACATACATACCTACATACATACATACATACAAACATACACACACACACACACACACGACAACACACACACACACACACACACACACACACACAC